AATCAGCACTTTAGTTTTCTTTGAATTAACAGATAGCAACCATTTGTTACAATATTCAGCGAGCACAGAAAGCGCTTTTTGAAGTCCTTCGGCTGAATGGGAAATTAGAACAAGATCTTCTGCATAAAATAAACAGTTCAGATGAGTTCCATTTGGTAAAATAATAGGGTCTGTGTCTTGTCGGTCAAGTAAAAAGGGGATTTCATTTAGATATAGGTTGAAAAGCATAGGAGAAAGGATACAACCTTGTCTAACCCCAATAGTTAAAGAATTCCGTTCGTTGACAATCGGAAAACTTTATGGAGCATTTAGTTTTTGAATAAAGGTGCTTTATTAAATCATAAAATTTTCCCCCAATGTTGTACCGAAGGAGTTTATAGAATAAGCCATCATGCCAAACCGAATCAAAAGCCTTTTTGAAGTCAATAAAGCAGGTATATAATTTTCCTTTTGTAGTTTGATTGACGTATTTATCGATTAGTGTTCTTAAGGTAAATATGTGATCAGTTGTACGATGATTCGGTAAAAAACCTATTTGAGCTTCATGCAATATGTCTTGATCGATTACAAAATTTTTCAGTCTGGTATTAAGTACTGAAGTGAAAAGCTTTCCGAGACAACTATTTATACATATACCTCTATAATTTCCCGGGTCTTGCTTGTTTCCAGATTTATAAATAGGGGTTATTATTCCTTCGCACCAAGAGCTAGGGTAAAAACCACTACAAAAAACAAACATGAAATACAATAATTTCTCTTGCTAGTAGTATAGGAGGGACCGAATTAACCCCTTTTTTGCGGAGGATTCTCATTAGAGTGCGGAGGAATACATTAACGCCAATGACGTCATAACCTTTTGTCTTGATCTCATGAATAAAATGCTCAGGAATCTCATTAACATAAGGTCGTGTGCTATTTTAAGTTGGTTTAGGTTTTCTAGTTACTTTAAGGTCGATAAACGTCTTCGTTTTCTATTGGTTAGTTAGAAAATAAGAAAAGTTTTCATTGGTTAATTCATAGTGCCTGAGAAGTAAAGTCAAACTTGTCTCTGACTTAAAATCACTGAGACGTAACGTAATTATGCAAGTTCTATTTCCTGCTGCTGCGATTGTCATGGTTCCGGTTCACTGATTTTTGGCAGGTAAATCGTGCATATTAATGAGGGCAAAGGCCAACTAGCTCTTTTTACACTCCAAACAATGTTTTACTCACCCCTCTCCTTTTCATTTTTTTTTACTTTCCTCCTCCTCCACAATTTTATTATTTTCGTTCCTCAATTCCCTCCTCCTCCTCCTCCTCCTCCTCATTTTTATTGTTTTCCCTCCTCCTCCTCCTCATTTTTGTTTTCCCTCCTCCTCCTCCTCATTTTTGTTTTCTCTCCTCCTCCTCCTCCTCTTCCTCCTCATTTTTTTTTGTTTCCCTCCTCCTCCTCCTCCTCCTCCTCCTCATTTTTATTGTTTTCCCTCCTCCTCCTCCTCCTCCTCATTTTTGTTTTCCCTCCTCCTCATTTTTGTTGTTTTCCCTCCTCCTCCTCCTCATTTTTATTGTTTTCCCTCCTCCTCCTCCTCATTTTCTATTGTTTTCCCTCCACCACCACCACCACCACCACATTTCTATTGTTTTCCCTCCACCACCACCACCGCCACAACATTTCTATTGTTTTCCCTCCACCACCACCACCACCACCACCACCGCCACCACATTTCTATTGTTTTCCCTCCACCACCACCACCACCACCACCACCACCACCACCGCCACCACATTTCTATTGTTTTCCCTCCACCACCACCACCACCACCACCACCACCACCGCCACCACATTTCTATTGTTTTCCCTCCACCACCACCACCACCACCACCACCACCACCGCCACCACATTTCTATTGTTTTCCCTCCACCGCCACCACATTTCTATTGTTTTCCCTCCACCGCCACCACATTTCTATTGTTTTCCCTCCACCACCACCACCACCACCGCCACCACATTTCTATTGTTTTCCCTCCACCACCACCACCACCACCACCGCCACCGCCACCACATTTTCACTGTTTCCCTCCTTGAGTTTGGCCTTTTAGGCCTGATTTTGGCCTCTTTGGCCTTTTGAAACTGGTGGTGGTGGTGGTGGGGAAGGGAAAAGAAATGTGGTGGCGGTGGTGGTGGTGGTGGTGGTGGTGGAGGGAAAACAATAGAAATGTGGTGGCGGTGGAGGAAAAACAATAGAAATGTGGTGGCGGTGGAGGGAAAACAATAGAAATGTGGTGGCGGTGGTAGTGGTGGTGGTGGTGGTGGTGGTGGAGGGAAAACAATAGAAATGTGGTGGCGGTGGTGGTGGTGGTGGTGGTGGTGGTGGAGGGAAAACAATAGAAATGTGGTGGCGGTGGTGGTGGTGGTGGTGGTGGTGGTGGTGGTGGTGGAGGGAAAACAATAGAAATGTGGTGGCGGTGGTGGTGGTGGTGGTGGTGGTGGTGGTGGAGGGAAAACAATAGAAATGTGGTGGTGGTGGTGGTGGTGGAGGGAAAACAATAGAAAATGAGGAGGAGGAGGAGGGAAAACAATAAAAATGAGGAGGAGGAGGAGGGAAAACAACAAAAATGAGGAGGAGGGAAAACAAAAATGAGGAGGAGGAGGAGGAGGGAAAACAATAAAAATGAGGAGGAGGAGGGAAAACAATAAAAATGAGGAGGAAGAGGAGGAGGAGGAGGAGAGAAAACAAAAATGAGGAGGAGGAGGAGGGAAAACAAAAATGAGGAGGAGGAGGAGGGAAAACAATAAAAATGAGGAGGAGGAGGAGGAGGAGGAGGGAATTGAGGAACGAAAATAATAAAATTGTGGAGGAGGAGGAAAGTAAAAAAAAATGAAAAGGAGAGGGGTGAGTAAAACATTGTTTGGAGTGTAAAAAGAGCTAGTTGGCCTTTGCCCTCATTAATATGCACGATTTACCTGCCAAAAATCAGTGAACCGGAACCATGACAATCGCAGCAGCAGGAAATAGAACTTGCATAATTACGTTACGTCTCAGTGATTTTAAGTCAGAGACAAGTTTGACTTTACTTCTCAGGCACTATGAATTAACCAATGAAAACTTTTCTTATTTTCTAACTAACCAATAGAAAACGAAGACGTTTATCGACCTTAAAGTAACTAGAAAACCTAAACCAACTTAAAATAGCACACGACCTTATGTTAATGAGATTCCTGCGCATTTTATTCATGAGATCAAGACAAAAGGTTATGACGTCATTGGCGTTAATGTATTCCTCCGCACTCTAATGAGAATCCTCCGCAAAAAAGGGGTTAATTCGGTCCCTCCTATACTACTCTGGCTTACCATTCGAGATGCAGCTCCTGAAAGTTATCAGGTAAAGCCAGTATCGCTTCTGACTTTGCAATCCTCTTACGCATCAAGCAAGGTGAAAACGAAAACGATGCCATCCGAAATCGGATTTCCGACTTTGACAAGCGACGTTTTCTCAACCAAAAACCCAATAAACAAACTAGCCATGAGTAACAGAAGACTCCTGATAGCAGCTGAATATCATTTTGTACATCCAGTGGAAAAAGACAGTTAAAAACATCACAAGTTGACGCAAAACTCTGTCAGCTTCAGCTGTTAAAGTAAACAAGATTCAAGATGCTGCATAAATTTTGCGCATGAACTCACATGTCAAATTTTGACCAATCAGAGCATAAAAATTGGACGTAGAGCGTGACCAACGCGTGACCATTGTGAGAAAAAACAAAAGCAACTGTCTTCCTGCCTGTAACAGCTGGCTGAATTTTCACGTCCGAGGTCAGTTTGCAATCAAAATTTTAATTGTGCAGCACATAAACACAACATATTTCATGAATGAATTAAAAAAAAATTGAACTTGAGCCTGCGATCACTTGAAAACTAGTTTACTTGTCAGCGGATAACTTCAAAAAATACCTGACCTCGACGGGTCGACACCTGAGCCCGCGATACGGTCAAGTGATACTGGTCAGCGGGTACTCTGTTTTGACAGCTGTCAATTGATCAAAACATTGATGTCCAATATGTGTGCATTATCAGTTTTTCTGTGCTCCCAAACTAGTAAAAGTATGAGATTGAACGTTGTTCGCGATCTAGTAAAACAGTTAACTGGTCAGCGGACAGCTTCCAAATAAATCACGTCACCTCGATGAGTTGACACATGAGCCCGCGATATGGTCATGGGATACTGGTCAGTGGCTATCCTGTTTGGACAGCTGTCAATTGACCATATTGTTAATGTCCTATATTAAAGATGTGGGCTTGCCAAGACACGCCTGAGACACCCCTCCCTTCCTTTTGATAGTCTCCCCTACCCCACCCATACAATCTGTAACGCGTACGTACGTACGTACGTACGTACGCTCGGTCAATCACGTGACAACCAAACGAAAAGAGGTTGACCATATTCCATGGGTATGGGGCTCTGTCCCACGCGCGCTTCGCGCGCGCGGGAGCCCCGCTATTAAGACCAAAAATTAATTCACTTGAGGATGGCGCAAAGGAGGTGGCAATCTCGACTTTGAACCATTTGATTACTTCTGAAAATAACCACTTGGTCCAGTGGCAGTTACAAAAAGTATGAATTATTAAATCATTTTGTCTGCAGTAAGGACAAAGCGCATTTTCCTGATTTTCTGTAATACCATACGTGAACAGTTCTCTTTTTGTGACGACAATTCTGTGTAAGAGTTTAAAGTAGAATTCTCTTAGTTTGTTATCTCTCCAAATATTTTTCACACGGGAGAAATAATGCCTTTGCTAGTATTATTTCAGGTAGGAGGTCTACTTCCCATTTCATGTTAGCGTTTGTTTCATGTTGATCTTTACTAATCAAGAGCCAGTAGTAATTTCTATTTTTCATTTTAAGTAAATTTAATGAAAGGTCTGCTGAGAGCTGGAAGGAGCTTTCGTACAAAATACTGGTTTTATCAATGTGGCATCTCCGTGCGTCATCCATCAGATTCTTAGGAATCGCAGAAACAACTTACATGTATTGTAAGAAATTACCGTTCAGTTGAAATTTCCTAAAAAATTCCGAGTAAGAAAGTACCTTACCATCATCTCCTAAGAGATCTTGAACGAGAAAGACATTTTTATTCATCCAACTTCTATAAAAGAATGAACGTCCGCCAATTAAAATATCTTTATTGTTGAATAATACAAACCTGCAAAACTGCGTATTATAAGAAGTTTTAAGTTCTAAGAAATGTAGTAATATCAACTTATAGAAGTAAGGGAGACACATTTTATCAAGAAAATCCTTGTCATAATTACTACGTAGCAGGAAGTTCAAGCCACCGAATTTATCGAAAAAGTGGTTGGGAATGACCTTCCATGATTCGTCGTCATGCGCAGGTATACTTTGTAAGAACCTCGATATCCACGCCAGTTTGAGTGATTTGGCCATGGTCTCTATGCTTGGAGCACGTAGACCACCTTTGGTATAGTCTTGGGCCATAATTTTGCGTTTGATTTTGTCTCTTCGATTTTTCCAGATACCGTATTTATTCGACTATAAGCCGAGTGATTTTTACACAAATTAAAACTGAAGTGAATTAAAATTTGGGCTCTAAGGGGGTCTCGGCTTATAGCCGAAAGTTTTTGAAAAAAAAATTTTTCCGGCGCATGGAAACTCTACTAAATCGAGATGTATTTACGTATAAGCCGAGCTAAAATAAAGAAACACAATATGCAATCGTTGGTTATTAACTTTTAAGAATGTGGTGGCTCCTAAAGGAGGCGTTTGATAAATTTAATGTGTTTTCACAGAAAAGATAAAGATTCTTGATAGGGAATAACCGTGACGCTGACGGGATGTGATTACTGAAATCGATGGAACTTGACTGTTTGCTGCTCCAAATCTTCTGGGAGACGCTGAGCGAGTGTTGTTTTGGTGCGAAGGCTGACGGAATGGCGGCGCTTCTTATAGTCGAATAAATACGGTAAATTTAAAGATGCTTGAATTAACAGCTTGAACCAATTGTGTTGGAAAATCGAGTGTTGAAAGTGGGTGAACTAGCTGTGAGATGCCAAGAGATTTCGTTATAAGACACTTACCAAAAAGAGTGAGGTTCCTAGAGTTCCATATGCCTAGAATGGTGTCAAGTTTGTGCACCTTTCCTTTAAAATTTAATTCCTCGTTTTGTTTCTCGTCGTATGAAATATAGGTTCCAAGGACTCTAAGCGGTTTTTTGGGCCACTTAAATTAAAGTTAAAGGGTTCGTCCTTGCGATTTCTTAATGACCCTAACCAAAGCGCTTTGGTTTTTGACGGGTTTAGCCTAAGACCAGATAGATTTCCAAAGGAGTTAAGAACCGTGATAGCTCGATTGACCGAATTGCAATCATTGCATAAAAGAGTTGTATCCTCGGCAAACAGGCTTAGTTTCAGCTTTTTTTGAAAGACTGTTATTCCTTTTATTATTTTGTCTTGTCTGATTTTGCACGCTAAAATTTCCGCCCCTACGATAAATAAATAAGGGGACAAAGTGCAGCGTTGTCTCACTCCCCTCGACAGTTTAAAGAAATTTGTGCAAAATCCATTGTTTAGAACAGCGCTCTCTGAATTATTATAGAAAGTCGAGACCCATTGTTGTATACTGTCTCCAAAATTAAAGAGTGCGAGGCTTCTTTTAATGAAGCTCCATTCGATAGTATCAAAAGCTTTACAAAACTCAAGCTGTACAAGAATACCTGGAATATTTTGTATTTTTGTTTGTTCTACTACGTCGTTGACCAATCTAATATTTTGCCCGATGTATCTACCTTTCAGAAAGCCTGTTTGGTCGGGGCTTATTAAAAGATCCAAAACCTTTTCAAATCTTGTGGCTATGACTTTTGATGCAATTTTATAGTCAACATTTAGTAACGTAATCGGACGCTAATGTGCAAGCTTTAGGAGGTTGGCGTCTTCTTTTGGGAGGAGAGATATTACACCTCTTCTCTGCGAAATTGACACTTCGCCTTTCACATCTGCCTCATTAAAACAGTTTACTAAGTCCTGTCCTAGTAGAGTCCTAGTAGATCAAAGAAACAACCATAAAACTGTCCTCGCCTGGTGATTTCCCGTTACTGAAAGTCCGCAGTACTACTTTGCACTCCGCCAGTGTAATTTCGCCTTCTAATTCGTTTCTCTGTTGGTCTTGGAGTTTAGGAGTTTTTAGACCTTGTACAAACAAATCGAACAAGTCATTTTCGTCTAATCCGGAGTTATACAATTGCTTATAAAACGTTTCAATTTCGTTTAATATTTCGTCCTCATTAGTCAAGGTTGTACCTTCTGCTCCCTCCAGCTTTTTAATTGACTTACGATTGTAATTCCTTTTCTCTAGGTTGAAAAAGAAAGCGGTCGGCGGCCTCGTTCAATCCATTTACATTTGGAACGTATAATACTTCCTTTACCCTTCTTTTGATGAATGAGATCGATTTCTTCTCTTAAATTATTATATTCGTTTATTTCATTCTTAATACGGTCTGTATTAGGACTGTTAGAAATGACTCTGTCAAGCACTTGTAGTCTATTTTGAATGTAGCTTTCTTTTTGGTGTAACTGTTTAGCTTTATTTTTAGAGAAAGGAAAAGTGATGCCACGTATTTCCATCTTACATGTAATGAGTTCCCATTTCAGCCTTTTGTCTTCAATTCCTGATTATTTGTTTTGGATGACAGCATATCTGTCAGTGATCAATTTAACATAAATTTCGTCTTCTAACAATGAATTATTAAATTTCCATAGCCCAGGGCCTCTATTGTCATTTTCCAGTTGCAAATTGGACTCTAATTGCTTTGAGATGCTTTGTTATATGCTTTGTTTGACTCTTATTTGATAATCCTACAAAAAAAGCCAACAGCGGCCTATTCATAGTAAAAACAGAACAAACTTGGATAGGTTTCCGTTTCGTTCAGAAAATTATTTAATTGTATTGTTAGTTCAACTTCAGTAATGATTTCTAAACATATTGGTTGTCTGAATAGTAGTTGCTCTACTTTAATTATATTTCTTAATTAGCCTTATTCTACAACAGAGAGACATTTCACTGTAACACCTTTGAACAGCGAAATCAATATAGCTCGTCTTTAATTGAAGTATTAATATTCTTGAGCGATCAAGTAGTTTCTCTGCAAATATAATAGTTCTTAATTTACTTTCGTAAATAGTCGCTTCGTGTGAATTTAGAATTTCAAATGTTTTGCTGACCTGCAATTCGGAAAATGTCTGCTTTTGTTGGAGGTGAAAAACTAGTCATCAGACAGTCCTGCTACGTGCCCGAAAGCCGCTAGCTGACCTTGCAATTCTATTCACACTATGAGCGACATTACGTGCCTAAAAGCCGCCTTGCTGACTTCTCAAACTTTGCTAGTTTATTGTCCTTGTACTTTTTACTACTAAAATAGAATCCGCAACAATAATTTTCTTAACGAGTTTGTTTTTATATGATTGTACTCTGGTGTGTTGCATACCTATGGTAATGGTTTATAAGTAGTTTGTAGTGTTTTTAGATTACGTCGATTACACCGATTCTATTGTCAACTACACCGATTGCTTCGAGTACGTGTACAAGAATAAACGCTGTTGGAACCAAGTCAAGTTCGCCTTATTGAATTCTCTGCTGCGTTCCGGTTAGTGGTTTGATCCCGGCCCTAAGAGTTGTGACGGCTCTTACCCGCGAGCGAGTTGCCCTTTGAATTTAGCTTCCCCAGTTTAGAAGGCAGTTTCCAGAGTTCAAACCCGAGTTCACGGTTAGCCCTTAAAAGTCGTTCGAAAGTGGAAAAACCTTCCGTCACACAAAGAAAGATGTTCTGCAGGAAATTTGGATGAGCTTCTATGAAAGTATTGCACATCAAGGTACTCAGACTTAAGCTGTTCGGATGTTCATTGAAACTTCTGGAGAATATGCAATGCGTGTACTTCGACTAGGAAGCGAGGTGTGCCAAAGGTGTGTAACTGATACCAGCTAGCTATTTGGAGAAGAAGAAGCGCAAATGTTTAAAAAGTCTGCAGTCCTCTTTCTCCATTTTGCGGCCAGCCTTCGTTTTACTCTCAGTCTGCAGTCTGCATTTCACCCTGACTCAGTCTGTATTTTACCGCTGGTCCGTAGTCTGCAGTCCGCAGTCTTCTTTTTACACTGACCGGGTGTTAAAGGGTACGATTCGCTTCGCAACCCAGGACGATTTTCAGCGCAACACACAAGCCGGAAAAATTGTTACAAAAATTGATTTATACAACTTTTGCAACATTGTTCATTGCTTCCCTCTGAAAAATCGTCGTTGCATATCGTCCGTAAATAATCAATGAACTGACATATTTACCTTTAAACACTGCATTAGGTTTTGGCAACTGTAACCGTATTCCGATTTCTACTCTTCTTTCTAGCCTGAGAACAGTCCCTTTCTCATTAAATACCAATATTCAATCTAGCATGATAAATACTTCCTTCATTCGCTATATACAGTTTTCTCAAAATTTTCGTTTCAACAAATAGGCCATTTTACAGTTGTGGATGGAAGCGAGGCTAAGGGTGACCTTGTTCTGATACAAACCTTCCTGCTTTATTATGTCAATCAAGTTATTTTATAACATAGCGCGCGTGCTTGCCCAGTATAAGTCCTATTGAGCCGCTATGAACAAAATCTTTATTTACGCACGCCCGTGCGTAAATAAGATGACGTGAGCATTTTTTTTTTTACCTGGCTGCAAAGTTGTCGTCTTTTAAGCTGCAGTGCACTTTTCCTTCTCTTTAAAATATGGAAGAAACCAGCGAAGAACTGCCCAATTTTTCTATCGGTCCCGATCCAACAAGCAGCAAAAATAAAGCCGAATTAAAAAAAAAACTCGCAAGTTAAGCGTTTCGTAAATTTGTCGAAGAGGAGCTGCAGCAAATTTTGGCTGAAAGACATTCACTGGGAACAGAACAGACACCAACTGCTCATCAACAACATTTAAAGGCAAAATTTCCGTTTTTATTGTTGTTTTTAAATTTGTTATGCACTTTGTTATCTCCGTACAATCCGACTTAACCAGGAAGATTTATCTCGCAATAACAACACAAATTACACAAGAAGACATAAATTATTACTCATAAAAACAACTGCTGCCAGATCTTCTCAAGAAGCCGTAATGACCAGCCAATGTTCGTAAATGAATATAAGTTTAAAGAAGGACGACAGTCGTCTTCGCTAAAAAACATGTTTTCTGGATTTCGCCGAGCAAAACGTAAACATCTTTTCAGCAAATCCAAACCATACTCCACGACTTCTTACGAACATGTTAGTATTTTAACTTTAGGTGAACTTTAAGACTCTTTTACCTTTGTTTCTGCTTAGTTTCCATTGATCGTTAACGAATAAAGAAGCAAATTTTCTTTCTCACTTTTACAGAAAGAATATTTTCATTCAAACTAGACGATTGTGGCGTGTTCGTAATCAGCCAGTAGAATCGTTTGTTATTGTGTCGCGCGTT